CCCCAAAACCCCAAAACCCCAAAACCCCAAAACCCCAAAACCCCAAAACCCCAAAACCCCGAATTTTGTAGGGAATGTTGAGAGAAGTTGAAGTTATGAGAGTTCAGGAGATTTGAGAGTTTTGGAGGGTTGTGGGGGGATTGGGGGTTTTGGAGGGAGGAGAAGGTTAGTACAGCTCTGGGTTTGGAATGGGACAGCTTTTAGAGTGGTTCTGAGGTATTTTGTAAATTCTTTGTCTTCGTTTATTTTTGGGTTAAATGTAAAACCAGCTTGTTCAAAATGTTGATTCTTTATATCATCTCGTTTACTCTTGCTTCCCTTTTCATGATGCATTTTTATTGATCTTTCTCTCTTAAAATTGACCAAAGAGTGTGAAACTCTTTGATTATATCTCTTCGTTCTCGAAAGATCTGGAGAATGGGTATATTCTCTCAATTTCTCCTGTCTTATCTTAGCCTTAGTCTGATCGACTCTTAAATCCTTTTGTATTTGCTTTTTCTTAATTGAATTCTCTACACTGCTCAAGGGTCTGGCGAATCGGATGTTTTCCAAATTAGTTAGCCTGGAGGAGTACACATTGGTTCTCTCACTGAACGTGACTCTATTTTTCTGCTTCCCTCCTTGGGGCTTTTACAGGACTTCTACTACAACTTCAGTTACTAAGCCTGTCCATGAGTTCTCTGGTAGCTTTCTTACTCTCGTTTAGGGTATCGAGAACGTGGATTTTGAGGGTTTTTAATTTGGTGTTCTCCTTAAGGTCGTAGTAACTCTTAGTTCTCTGGAACGCTTTGACAACCTTATCACTAAACTCAATATGCTTATTTATGAATCTTCATTTTCTTCTTAATCTTTCTTTCCTTCCTACTTAACTTCTCTCTTTCTGGCTTCAATTGTTCATTTGCCATTTTCTTCATTGCTTTATAGTCGTTAAAGAATCTATCTGTAGTAGGGACAATGGTTGAAGAGGAATCTTGAATTGACTTTTCGCAGTAAGAATTTACTGTTGAGGACTCTTGGGTCTGGGCGGAAGAGGGGTTTTGTGTGGGGGCACGAGAGGGGTTAGGGAAGGGGGTGGAGAGGTCTGAAGGGAGAGAAGTTGAGGATAGGGGCTATAAGGATGAGGGAGGAAGGTACTTTGGAAATGTCGTTATGGGAGGTGTCTCTTGTTGCAATTTCGAAATTTTGAGGATGGTTGTGGGTTGTTTCGGTGATGAATTTGGGGCTTTCGGTGTTATTTTGAAGTATAGGATCAAAATTCTTTGAATTTTGATCTATTTTTTTCTGGAAAACATTCTGCTGTTGGTGCAGTAACTGTTTAATTTCATCTTTGCTAACGTATTCTTTCCTAATTTTCATCATATTTTCTTTCAATAATTAAAATCAGAACTGGGGTTTTGGGGTTTTGGGGTTTTGGGG